AGGTGCACTTAAGCGGATGCGGCGCAAGGCAGATCGGATATGAGTCCCCGCCCATCCGACTATAGCGGAATGCACCGCTGATGGATGACTTTCACTTGCTTATTGTGATGAAGTCCTCTATTCCAATAGTTCTACTTCAAGACAACAACGGTTACCTGTACTCTCCAGCGTCTTGTTGAGTGACGTTGTCAACCGTCAATGTTAACGTGCCATCCTCTTTGAAGTCGGATTTGATACGTGCTGTCATTTCAACCTGAATGTATTCAGTGGTAGTATAAGCAGTACCATTCACGACCCCACTCTTCGCAGCGTGGACTAGATTTGTATAGAAATTTATTCTTGAGAGGGACGGTGGGGGAAGGGAAGGGTGAGGGTGAGATAGATTCGACTAAGTTTGTTCAAAGGAGTGTTTTTGTAATTTGACACCCAAATCGCGATTTCAACATCTATATGAGACGCTGCCGTAGTTTGAAGGAGAGACACACGACAATGTAGCACGCCCCTCCCCACCTCTCCATAGGGTTCAAACCTGGCATAGCAGAGCACCAGGATCACTAGGACCTAGTCTCGTAGAGCGGAGAGATCGAGGCGCTCCGAACTACTTGTCATGAAAAGCCTGGTATCAGCGTCACGAGCCCAAACTGAGCGCTTCTCTTCGACACAGGCGCCAAGCAATTCGTTGCAGGCGGGTGCGATGATCGGTCCAATAGGTCACTGTACAAAGGTATCTGTGAAAACTTCCTGCCCGAACTATCGGCCATATCGGAAAGCAACAAGAGGCGTGGCTGCGTATTCCATATCAACTATTACCAGAGCAAGTCCTGCCGCTAGGGGATCTTTTCGCAAATGCGACCACCCTCAAATCCAGTCCCCCCCCCTTACTACGACTCGCTCTTCACCCTCCCTCATCCTACTCATCTGAATTTTCCCAGCATGCCATCAAATTTCCAAGTTCCTTCCTCCAGAAGAATTGCGGAGGGAGGGGGAGGGAGGAAAATGGGGGTGTGTGGCGCCTTAGAAACAAAAGGAAAAAAAACGTGAAAAGACAGTCACAAGCAGATGTGACCCTGCCTCAAATATTTTCCCAAATGGCACAACCAGCTCTTCATCCTTCTCCATCCTACAAGCCTAAATATTCCCAACATGCTCTGATTTCCCAAGTTTTTCTACTGAGTGAAGTGCGGGGGAGGAGTAGGGAGGTAAGAAGGTGGTAAACAGCATGCTTGAATCAGGGAAAATCATAAAAGTCAACAACAAACAAGTAGGCCTCCTATCCCTCCAGCTACCAGTTATGACCCTCGCCCTGCTGGGTTTCCCAATGTGCTCTAGTTGCCACCCACGCCCCGCATCCGTTACTTACTGCCCTATGGGCTGTACCTAGGTTGCAGTTTGCATGAAAATATAGCCCAGAATGCGGAAAGTGGAGTCGAGTAGGGTAAATAGGGCCGAGTTCTAGAACTTTTACACATCTTTCCATTGTGCTCTCATTTTTAGCAGGACGAACGAGGCTGATACCAACCTCTTTGCCTTCCTTGGTCCATTTGATCTTTGGTCGAGGTTCGCCTTTCACTTTGCAACGAAGCACAGCTTGTTGCTTCTCGGTGACTGTGCACGATCGCAATAGTTCTACAAATTCCGGTGGGCCTCTACCGGCCTTTGTCTCTACAGCTGCTGCAAATAGAACGACTCTTGATCAAAACTAGAGATTATTTGGACTGTAAATGTTAAGCAACCGGTTTAGCAAGTAAATTCGAAAGGTTGGGAAACATGCATTGTGCTGTGAGAAATGTATGTAAAAAAAAGTGAAAAAGAAATCACCGGTAGTGGTGATCGACTCCGCAACCATTTCCTGTAACTGCTCGCTTTCGTCGATTACCGTTTCCTGCACAGTTTGCGCATACTGTAGATTGGCGTGCGTTTCTGCTTTGCCCACTTTGTTCACGGCTTCACAACGATACGAGCCGACATCTTCTTTGGTTGCATTGTGAATTGTCAATTTGATTTTGCCATCGTCAAGTGTTTCAAGGACCATATGTTGACTTAGTTCAATAGGTTTGTCGTCTTTGAACACCCATTTGATTTCTGCTTGGACTCCTTGTTTCACACGACCACTCAGGAGCACCACCGTTTCTCCCTGCTGAGGCAGTAGTTTCTTGCTAGATGATTCGATGAACAATGGTTCGCAACCTCTTCAACTTTTGGACGCCTTCTCACAACCTCGTAATTTGCTTTTGGTATTTCATCAGCGATTGTACATCCTTGGCCAGCCTTAATTAACGGCTCTCACGAAGAATAGGAACCAACATCTTCTGAACGTAGATTCTTGATGATTAATGTGTGTTGACCTTCGGAGTCTTTTGTCATGACATTTGAACCGTCGATTTCAACTGGGAAACCATTCCTGAGCCAAGATACCTCTGGCTCTGGTTTGCCGACTACAGTACATACCAGTTCCGCTGGTTTACCTTCATCCACTTCGAGTGGTTTCAGTCCTTCGGTGAAGTGTGGCATCACCAGGTCTTCTATGACGGCCATTTTTGCTTCTGTCTGTGCTTCACCAGCTTCGTTAGTTGCTTTGCAAGAGTAACTGCCAACGTCGGATACACGGGCATCTCTGATGGTCAGGGTGAAGTGACCGTGGACCTTCGTCTTGAGAAAGGACGTGAACGTTGTCGATTTGAATTGGTACATCATCTTTAAACCATTTAACCGTGGGCGAAGGTGATCCAGTAACGGTAACTGACAAGTTGAGGGTTTCAGTTTCCTTTACTTCGAGTGGTTGCAATGTCTCTGTGAACTGTGGACCAATCGACTCTTTGGCAACATGGACAGTTGCTTCGGTACGAGCTTCTCCAGCTTCGTTAGTTGCTTTGCAAGAGTAACTGCCAACGTCGGATACACGGGCATCTCTAATGGTCAGGGTGAAGTGACCGTGGCCTTCGTCTTGAGAAAGGACGTGAACGTTGTCGATTTGAATTGGTACATCATCTTTAAACCATTTAACCGTGGGCGAAGGTGATCCGGTAACGGTAACTGACAAGTTGAGGGTTTCAGTTTCCTTTACTTCGAGCGGTTTCAAAGTCTCTGTGAACTGCGGGCCAATCGACTCCTTGGCAACGTGGACAGTTGCTTCGGTTCGCGCTTCTCCAGCTTCATTTGTTGCCTTGCACGAATAGCTGCCTTGATCTGTGATTCTTGCTTCTTTGATGGTGAGTACGTAGTGACCGCTACCTTCGTCTTTGGCGAAGAGGTGAACATTGTCGATTTGAATTGGAACGGCGTCTTTGAACCAGGCAATTTTGGGTTCTGGTGATCCTGTGACAGTCACTGAAAGGGTAGCACTTTCTTGTTGTTTCACTTCGAGAGGCTGTAACTTCTCGGTGAACTGTGGTGCTTCTACATCTTTAACTACTGCAAAGTTCGCTGAGCATTCTGCAGAACCGGCAACGTTGGTTGCTTCACAAGTATATTTGCCTGCATCTTCAATTCTCGCAGAAGATATTGTGATGGAGAAGACACCGTCGGACTCCTTCTTGGAAACGATATGTGTGTTGTCGATGTTGACAGGCTGACCGTCCTTTTTCCATGTAACATCTGGAGCAGGAACACCTTTTACGGTAACAGAAAGCGTTGCCGTTTGGTTGACTTTAACTTCGGTGGATACAAGTTCCTTGACAAAGGACGGCTTTTCGAAGCTTTGAGTCACCTCAACTTCGGCAGAGCTCTCTACGCTTCCTGCAATGTTCGTGGCTTTCACTGTGTATCTTCCTGCGTCTGTCATTGCAGCTTCCTTAACTGTCAGAGAATAGATACCAGTTGAGGCTTCTTGTCGGATTTCATGGATCATATCTTGTTCAATTGGTTGACCGTCTTTGAACCACGAGACTTCAGGTTGCGTTCCGCTGACCTTAACCTCCATGTGAATCTCCTCCTTCTCTTTAACTGTTGTTCGCTTCAAGCCTTGCTCGAATACTGGCACATCGGTCCTTGTAGATACAGTTGCTTCAGAAATGGCAGTTCCCACAGTATTCTTTGCCAGAGCACGGTATTTGCCAAAGTCTTCCTGAGTGGATTCCTTGATAAGCACTCTCCAATGGGTGTTTGTTTTGTCATGCTCGATTGATATTCTCGTCGATGATTTGATTCTTATGCCTTCACGGTAGAACTCCACAGTCGGCTGAGGGGCACCTTTCACAGAGCAGAAAAGAACCAGTTGGTCACCGATGGATATTGATTGATCCACGAGCGATTTGGTGAAGGTGGGTGCGAGTGCTGCAAATCAGTTAGTTGAAAGACACGAACAAACGATGAAAAAAGTAAGAGCAGGTCGATGCTTTCTCGTTCCTGGTGAATTATGAAGGAGACAGAGCTTGAGAAAGCTGCGATCTGCTTATCACTAGGAATCAAGACAGGAGGAATATCAATACTTGGGCTGTTTTGCAATTAATTGTGCGTGAACGGTTAATGGATTAATAACCAAAATCAACTCAGATCAGATCAGAAGACATCTCATATGGTGATGGCGAAATTCCTTCTGCCTTAAAAATAATTAGTCAACTTACATTCCGATTCACGCTGGATTTCCACCTCAACTTTTGCTTCTGTACGAGCTTCTCCAGCAATGCTTGTGGCTTTGCAGGAATAGCTTCCAATGTCCGTTACTTTGGCATCCTTGATGGTCAAGGTGAACTGGCCACGACCCTCTTCTTTGGTCAGAATGTGAACATTGTCAACTTCAATGGGAACGTCGTCTTTGAACCATTCGACCTTGGGTGTTGGTGATCCCGTGACAGTCACAGTCAGGTTTATGGTCTCGGTTTCCTTAATATGAATTGGTCTCAGAACCTCAACGAATTGGGGTGCTGCAGTCTCTTTGGTAACATTAACAGTTGCTTCTGTGCGAGCTTCTCCAGCAATGCTTGTGGCTTTGCAGGAATAGCTTCCAATGTCCGTTACTTTGGCATCCTTGATGGTCAAGGTGAACTGGCCACGACCCTCTTCTTTGGTCAGAATGTGAACATTGTCAACTTCAATGGGAACGTCGTCTTTGAACCATTCGACCTTGGGTGTTGGTGATCCCGTGACAGTCACAGTCAGGTTTATGGTCTCGGTTTCCTTAATATGAATTGGTCTCAGAACCTCAACGAATTGGGGTGCTGCAGTCTCTTTGGTAACATTAACAGTTGCTTCTGTGCGAGCTTCTCCAGCAATGCTTGTGGCTTTGCAGGAATAGCTTCCAATGTCCGTTACTTTGGCATCCTTGATGGTCAAGGTGAACTGGCCACGACCCTCTTCTTTGGTCAGAATGTGAACATTGTCAACTTCAATGGGAACGTCGTCTTTGAACCATTCGACCTTGGGTGTTGGTGATCCCGTGACAGTCACAGTCAGGTTTATAGTCTCGGTTTCCTTCACATGAACTGGTCTCAGAACCTCAACGAATTGGGGTGCTGCAGTCTCTTTGGTAACATTGACAGTTGCTTCTGTGCGAGCTTCTCCAGCAATGCTTGTGGCTTTGCAGGAATAGCTTCCAATGTCCGTTACTTTGGCATCCTTGATGGTCAAGGTGAACTGGCCACGACCCTCTTCTTTGGTCAGAATGTGAACATTGTCAACTTCAATGGGAACGTCGTCTTTGAACCATTCGACCTTGGGTGTTGGTGATCCCGTGACAGTCACAGTCATGTCAAAGCTTTCGCTTTCTTTGATTTGAACAGTATGTAGTTCCTTAAGTAAACAATGGCGCCTCCATTTCTTGAACTACTGCCAAATTTGCTGAACTCCGTACAGAACCAGCGGTGTTCGTTGCTTCACATGTATACAAGCCCACGTCTTGAACCGTACAAGAGTGTATTGTGAGTGAATGTTCGTACTCGGATATTCGAGTGGAAGTGATGTGTGTTCCATCAATGATTAGTGGTTTGTCATCTTTCTTCCATGTAATTTCTGGAGCTGGAGCTCCTGTGACGTTGACCGACATTGTGGCAGTTTCGTTAACTTTTACCTCAGTGAATACAAGTCCTCGGATCAGAGAAGGCATCCTTGTCTTCTGAGTCACTTCTACATCAGCTGAACTCTCAGCAGTTCCTGACAGATTGGTCGCTTTCACGGTGTACTTTCCTGTGTGGGAGATCTGGGATTCCCTTATAATAAGAGAATAAGTGTTGGACGACACGTCTTGGCGAATTTCATGCATGTAGTCTTGCTGGATTAATTGACCGTCTTTGAACCATGAAACTTCGGGCTGCTCCGACGATTTTCACTTCCATGCGGATTTCTTCCTTTTCTGTCACCTTAGTACTCTTGAGTCCTTGCTCGAATGTAGGCGCTACAACTTTTGGAGAAACTTTCGCAGTAGAAATTGCTGCACCGATAGTGTTCTTCGCCACTGCTCGATACATTCCGAAATCTTCCTTACACGTTTCTTTGATTAATAACCTCCAGTACTTATTTGTGACATCATGCTCGACAGACATCCGTTTTGAAGATTTCATCTGGACGTTGTCACGATAGAATTCTACCGTTGGTTGAGGAATACCGTACACCGCGCAGAAAAGAATTAATTGTTCGCCGATCGATATCGACTGATCCGTGAGCCATTTTGTGAATGTAGGTGCGAGTGCTGTAATGCAGTTAGTAAGGATGTAGCACACTATCATTGATGTATGGGTCAAACCTTGTCTCATCTCAGGTTTGGTGCAGTTCAGCTTGGGAGGGGCAGCACTTCGGCGCTTTCGCTACTTCGCATCATCGTATTGGGGATTTTGGTCGATTCCCTTCCACCCCTTAGTTCCCTCGTCATCGAGCTGTCGAGCGAAGTGGGGGGAGGGGCTATAAAGCACATGTGGAACGGAAAAAACCGCGAAGAAAACACGACCTCCTTCCCCAACCTACCTCCCACTTTCTTAGATTTTCCTCAACCTGCTACCAGTTTTTCCGGAATTTCCCGAAAATTTTCCCACTTTTTCCCAAAAATTTTGCTGTCGAGCAGAAGGGGGAGGGGTGAGGAATATATAGCACATACGAAACGCGGAAGGTCAACAACCTCTCAGAGAAAGAAAGCAAATATGACCCCCTCCCCCTCATTTGTAGCGTCCCTGAAACAAGAAAAATCAACTATCAAAAAATTTTTCCCAGACCAAATACACCCCCCCCCCACCTCTCGGGGAATCCCTTACGATGATGTGCCCTCGAGCCATCGGGTAAAATCAGTGAAAGTGAAACCATGAAGCGATACCAGTCAAATTGCAGGTACACTTGTCAACTCTTGTAAGGAGAAGGTATGCCCCGCGCTCAAAAATGATGATTTGTGCGGCTCAAATACTAGTGGCAACATGGTGAACAACACAGAAGTGAAGAAAAAGGGATCGGGCGAGATATCACATATTGGTGCCAGCTCTTACGTCTTATCACCTCCTATTCGAAAGGAGAGGGTCAGGAGTGGTAAACCGGACCAAAAGGTACCCTTTGGAAATGAAAGTTGGGCGTCGCCATGGCCGGTGGACGGAGCCATGGTTTCGTCGTGAGCGGGCTGCGCTTTTCTCATACAATGATTTTCTCGTACAATGAGCTCCAAAAGTGGTACATCATCATCAATACTTGTACAGGGGGGGGGGCAAAAAAGACACTTTGGCCGAGTCACATATCAGTAAAGTTTTCGCAGCCCAGATAGAAGACGTGGATACGAGTACCAGGGCGGAAGATACCCAAGATGTTCCTCGATAAGCAGGAGCAGGCTCTCGCCCATCACCTTCATGTACACCAAAATATGAAGTCATCTCCAATCGGCCTGACTGGAGAAGGCCTATGGAATTCACGTCACCTCCAAACAGCTGCGAAACTTCTTGTATGGAGTCACCCATGGACAGCTACCTGGAGACCGGCACTTTGATCTGGAAGACCTCCAACATCGAGCAGCTCCGACAACGTCGCTACGGTCCAGGATATCATCTTCACCGCAGTCGCCAAGGCGCGGGTTGATGGTATGGACCGGAAGTTCCTGGAATGGGAAGACCGATATTTTCTTCGTGGACCCCGGACTGAAAGTGAACGCTGACGGTTACATCGACCAACTCGAGAGAATATCCTGCCTTCATGTCGTCGCCTGTACCTTCTTGGAAACTTTGTACTGCTACAGGATTGGGTGCCACCACATGGAATCGAAGGGCGTTGGAAAAACTCTCGCCTACTTGGAATGGAAGGGCGTTGAGAACCTGAAGAAGACGGAATATCCAAGTGTGTCACCTGACCTAAACCCCTCGATTACCGGGTCCGGGAGGAGCTCAACAGGGTGGTCTACAGTGGCGGAGAAATCAACGACCTCGCTGAACTCAGGCACCGAATCACGGTCGCGTGGCAGAATCTCTCGATGGCGCTCGTCCAGAAGGCTGTGGCGGAGTATCGTGATAGTGTACAATGTGCTGTTGAATATGATGGTGGAAATGTCCAATCAGAATTTAATAAATTGTAACTTATATCGCCTTGGAAGTCGAGGAAAAAGTGTCTTTTTTTGCCCCCCTCCCCCGCAGGCAGGACTACTGTGTCCAAAGAAATCGTCTGA